TAATACACAACAGCAAATTGTATTAAGGGAGCACAATTTTGATTGGTGCATGCTGGAAATATCCAAGACTATGAACCTGAAGGTCAATGGGTTTATGCATATCTCTAAAATCTCCTTATAAAAGTAATCTTAATTCTTGCTCAAACATACTTTTATTGTATTATGCATTTTTTTATTGTAAAAATATATAAATATAATATATATTCACACTTCAGAACACAAATAAACAAAGAGATTGCAAGTCATATGTAACATGACATACAAACAGATAGGAGTCCCATACAATGACTAACATGTCACACATCAAAGCTATTCCCATCAAGCATCTCTCTTTGGACACCTATGCAAGGGGCATAATAACAGATTACAAACTATCTCATTTGCTGAGGATTTAAAATTGGTTGCATGAAATAAAGTTGACTGGTCTGCATCACGGATGAACAACATAGTCCCTCTAGTAGTTCTAAAATCCCTGTATTTATGGTTACATAAATACAGGGATTATCTCTTCTCCGCCGGGTGTGTTCCCTCTCTGGCAGAAATCTGTTTCTTATGTGAGTCATCCATCCATAGCCCAAAGTAGGTAGACATAAACATTTGCTATATACTCATAAAATATTCCCTTAAAACAGATACATTGAAACTTTCACTATACAATTAAGTAAAATATGTTAATTTTTTAAGTTTTTACATTTCAGGATCCTAAAATATGCTGATCTGTACCCATCCATCTTGTTGGTGACATCATAATCTAGTTTTATAGCAAGTTCTCCAGGTATTCATCTTTCTACAAGTGTACTTAAGTGTATCTCTCTTTGTAACCATTCTAGTTCTGTGTGTATTTAATCTTATTCAATCTTCTATGTAAACCACAGTATCAGGGACTCCAGTTTCAGTATATCGCATTAGACAAATCATGCTGCTCATGCAACTGATTCCAAAGTAATTTATCTAACTCTTTGAGTGACAAACCCATGATCTGAACAAGCTAATCTTCTCAAATCAATCTGTACTTATTAATCTACATACTCTAATATAGCAAATAATTACACTAACTATTAACAACAATCTCTCTGGTTTATTTCAATAAAAGACACTGGTACTTTTATCTAATACAAGCATACATGCATGTAATTCTGTTAAAACTTGATATCCATTTAAGTCCCACACCTTTGTGAGCAAAGGTTTACCAGTCAGGGAGAATATTTTACAGAATGTATGAATTTTTAAATGCACATTACTCTGAGTATTATTGCTGTAATAAGAGCTCTGTAATATACTCAGACACAGCAATACTATGGAGTTCCTGGAAAAGAGGGTCACTAGAATGGAAAAGATGGACAGAGGAATTTGTTTCCAAAATATAGACTGTCTCTCCTAAATAGGGACAGGTGGTATATATGCTTGTAGATTTACATAATGAACAAGATTCAGGTTATAACAATTTATAAAATCCTAGTTCTGTGTAAACACTCATTTGTAGTGTTTTAAATAGATTCATAGCGTAATACAACCGAAGATGTCTATATGGGTCAATTTTTTCCAGTTCTGCTTTATAGGTACATGTGAGGGAAACTTCATAGTCTTAGTCTAATTCATTGAATATGTAAGGAACTACTTTGCACACTGACATTTTGCTTTTGGTGATAACAAACATTTACTATCACAACAATTAACCCTGTTCTAATGTTCTTTAGTCATATATTTTAACAGGGTGCAGTAGACAGGTGATGGCATACAGAGGTGATCTTCAGAGGCAACGAGGGCAGTAAAACTCATACAACTGATGTCGCAGAACAGATTAGATAATAAAACTGTATGTCCTGTAAAACTGCCTGTGTATGATCCAGCAGAAAGACATGCGTTTTATTATCCAAGAGATTTGATCATAAATATAATAGGTATATTGGAATTTACATTTACTTTTTATAGCATATTAAAAGAAGTAGAGTAGAGGTATGTGTGTATGTGAGGGTGTGAGAGGGATTGTTGCTACAAGCTCCATGTGTTCTTGGCGTTGTTCTGCACTGACATGCTGATGTAAGTCTCACACACAATCAGAAACTGACACAGCACAGGTTGCACACAAACATTAGCACATTACAAGTCTCACATACACATTGTAATGGCTGACAAAGAGGACAAGGTATACATTCCTTCATCTCTCCATCACTCTACAAACCTGCACTGCCATCAACTGCCAGGATGATGGTTGCTGGTGCCTTAATTTAGTGGTGAGCATCCCCTGACATCATGGGATAGCTGATATTAAAAACAAGAAAAAGAAAGGTCCTGGCACATTTATTGGAACCAAGTACAAAGCAATGTGTCAAACCCTAAAATGGGTCTTTGTCAAACCTCATTGCCTAAACCCATTGTAGCGTTTAAACGTTGCTCTGTATTTTGTTGCAATAAATGTGTCTTGCTCAGTTTTGTTTAGCCTGGACCTTTCTTTTTCTTGGATTTACTACTATGTGGAGATTGTGCTAGCTCCTAATTTGGTTGCACTCACTTATTTTTGCTATTTTTCAATGAGTGGAGTTCCTCAAATTTTGTTGCGATACCTGATACTGGCATGAAGTTTGAAGATTAAAGAGTAGAGGGAAAGGAATCCATTCCCTACCAATCTCTTCATGCAGTCAGCCATGAAACAATGTTTATTGTCTATCATCAAAGTGACAGGTGATATTCGTGCTGATATGCAGAGAGAAGGGATAGACAATAATTGCTTCTTCTCTCACTGGTAGTCATGCAGCAAGTCATGTTTAAGAGGCTACTAAATCACCCTTCTCACATGGTGGCAACAACTTTGTGAAGTCTTATAAAAAAAAGAAAAAATGGAGACAAAGTCATCTTTGGGAATTATAAAGTCTGAAAATATTTTTTTCCCATTAAAATAACAGACAAATTATTAAGTATGTAAAGCTTTTAACCCCTTAAGGACCAAACTTCTGGAATAAAAGGGAATCATGACATAGCACACATGTCATGTGTCCTTAAGGGGTTAAGTCAATATTTTATACATCATGCTAATTTAAAGCAGACATACTTAATCACGTTTCATTTACTAATAATATTTAGATGTGACTATGAGATCTTAATTTACTATATCATCAGTCTATGAAACATGTTAGTTCAACTATATGAAAAATGTTTAATTCTTTTCTATCTCATGTAAATGAACTCACCTTGAAAATTAACAACAAAAACCTACAAACCTCAGCTGAATTCCAGAAAAGGAGCCAACATTTTTTAGAAAAGTAAAAGTCCATAATTTATATTATTATTAATGAAAATGATAATACATTTAAAAACATCACATGCTATTAGTCAGTATTGCATTTCAATATGAATTCAATCAATTCTTTCAAATAAGCATCATGGACGCATGGTTAGACTGTTTAGAATGCAGATAATGTAGGTTCTACAGTTATGTGTACTTGACCTGCTTTTTGTTAACAGGAAGACTCTATTAATTATTTGCTGCTTAAACTCTCCGCTTAACCAGGTTTGCTCTATCAGTAGACCCCGTGGCTTTGTGAATGTAACCTTTACACTAGAGGTTTTGACATTCAATTTTCTCTCTGGATGATGCTAAGCCTGAATGATCCTGTACATTGTTTTTATACAAGTTTATGAACAACACTTGCTGTACAATGGAATAATATGAATCTGCAGTCTGGGTAAACATTTTAAATTATATAAAGGCATTGGAGGTGATCTATTTACATTTAAAGTGCAAAGTGATTTTCTAAGATACAGCATAATGTGGATATGATGCATTGCAGTGTCACCTTGTTACCGGTTTGTCATTGATTTGCAAAAGGTTCCACTTTATTGAAAACATGGAAGTAGGTGATTTTTATATTCCATATTCAAAGTGGTGAATACTCAAGTAGTAAAAGTAGTGATTGTTTGGGTTACTCAGCAAAAATACGAAGCTGTACAAACTGTTCATTATGTTTAAATAGTTTAGTATTTGATTACCGGTGTAAAAGAATTTATATGAACTTTATGTAGAGAGTATCCTGACTTGAAAGTTGTTGACTTACAATGAATTTAACTTTTGCCTTACATTAAATATTAACATATTACATTTAGTTTATATTTGGTAAATTATATTATTATTATTATTATTATTATTATATTATTTATTCCTTATTATTATTATTAATATTATGACTACTTTCTCTATATCCAGACTTGCACCCTGATTCCCCTCAGCAAAATCAAATGGTTCCATTACATTCAATTCAATCAACACATCATTACCTATCTACCTATCTAACTATCTTCATCCTACACTTTTGCAACACTTAGCATTGCATGCCTTGTGACTGTTATTTTTTGTATAGTGTGTAGTTCATACTTTCATATTATGTAAACATATACATTATACATTTTTAGAGAGATAAAATATTTTTGCTAAAATGTTTCAGCATCACACCAAATGCACACCAAAAACTAATCTCTCCACTTCTTACTCATCCTCCCTCATTCACTACAGAAAATGCAAGTTTGTGGATTCTGAACTTCCTTTACATATGTTCTTTCTCTAGATCCATACCCGAATCCTGATTTCTCTCAGCAAAATCAAACAGTTACAAAATTTTGCTCCCACCCACCATGGCTACTCCTTTACCCATAGCATGTTCCCTCGCTAATCGTAATTATTTATCTCACAAGCCATTCAGTATTTACATATGCCCCCATGGACAACTTCATACCCCCCTCCAACCTTATGACTCAACTCCCAATTATTATGTTTAGATTGAAAGCTCACATATTATCTTACTTTGCTCTTATAAGCTCATGGACAGTGACTACAGTTCCTTTTGAATCAATACTTGTTCATTAGTTATCTGCATTCCCTCTGTACAGAGCTGTGGAATATGTTGGTGATTAGTGATGTCCCGAACGGTTCGCCGAACGGTTCGCCAAACGGTTCGCCACGGATGGCGAACATATGCGGTAAACTTTGACCCTGTACCTCACAGTCAGCAGACACATTCCAGCCAATCAGCAGCAGACCCTCCCTCCCAGATCCTCCCACCTCCTGGACAGCATCCATTTTACATTCATTGTGAAGCTGCATTCTTAGTGAGCTGTCCAGGAGGTGGGAGGGTCTGGGAGGGAGGGTCTGCTGCTGATTGGCTGAAATGTGTCTGCTGACTGTGAGGTACAGGGTCAAAGTTTACCGCATATGTTCGCCGTCCGTGGCGAACCGTTTGGCGAACCGTTCGGCGAACCGTTCGGGACATCACTATTGGTGATATATAAATATGTTGGTGATTTATACAGTAAATGGCTTACTTATATATATACAACCAGAAAGATTGCAAAGTGCAAATCATAACCATTCCAATAGTGGTTCCAAGGTTTCCGTTTATATTTTGCTAGTGTTAAAAAATACCTTCTTGACCCCAATATGGCAATCAGATATCTCCTTGGATCAAGCAACTATTATCCCACTAATTAGAAATTATATCCCTGTATGTTATGTTTTGGCAAGTATTTATCCAATTGCAATTTAAACATCTGTATGGACTCTGATAAAACCACTTCAGGCAGAGAATTCCATATCCTTACTGCTCTTATTGTAAAAAAATCCTTTTCTCCTTACTTCCAGCCTAAATGTGTGACCTCATGTCCTATGTATAGCCCGGTTTATGAATAGATTTCCAGATAATGGTTTGTACTGGCCCCGAAAATATTTGTATAATGTTATCATATCCCCTCTGAGGCGCAGTTTTTCCAAACTAAAGAGATTTACATTTTTGAACCTTTCTTCATAACTAAAATGCTCCATTCCTTTGATAAATTGTGTAGCTCGTCTCTGAACTTTTTCTAGTACCATGATATCCTTCTTTAGAACAGGTGCTCAAAATTGTGAATGTTTAATTAATAATTTATTTTAAAGGTGGAAGGTGGGCAGTTAGTGTAGATCAACAAGTAAGGAGTTATAGTTCTTGTGGTAAGAGCGGATAAGATCAATAAGTATTTTAATGTTAGGAGCTAACAGATACGTGTAATATTTCTCAGAAGGATGCAGTAGATAATACTGACAATAGAGTACCACTTATAAATATTGATTTAATACACACTCTTTTGACCAAAAACACTTCTTTAACTTGTTTTTTGGTAAATTTAATTTGTTGTAATATTGAATAAATTGGGGGTTACTTTCCCTGGGCAAACCATGATATTGTTGGATACTAAGTTTGTGTATTGCTCAAATGAAACACTGAATGCATGGTGGCATTACTTTTACGGCCATTTTTTTTGTTTTAATTGTTTAGTTTTACTTTGTCAATTTTATTTCTCTTTTAAAAATTTAGGCCACAGCAAATTACATATCTAAAGAGACAAACAACACATTTCGTACCAGAAGATATGCTTGCTTGACAGCAACAAGAATATTATAATGTTATTTGACATGGCATTTATTTAATTTATTTTGTATTTTTTATTTACTTTCAATAACCACCTAGTTAAGCAACAAGGTACAAGTCACTGACATGATGCTAATAACTTTTTAACTCAATATGAAACATCTATATACGCTAAGCCAGCACTCGGCATGTTATGCATTAAAATCACACACACGTTACATGACTCATGTCTTGTAAAGGTTTGGTTAGGACTTGTTTTTCTGTATAAACTGCACAAATAAAGCAGCATCTATTAAAATATATTTACAAGTCCTGTGAGTGGACTATTTTAAGTTGACAATATATTATATACATAGATATATTTTTGTATTTCATTTTTTGAACGAGAGAATCAACGATATAGATTTAGAATAATAAGTTAAGTAGCCTGTAATGAATATGTTTTCTTTTTTTTCTTTAACCCCTTAAGGACACAGCTTCTGGAATGAAAGGGAATTATGACGGAATATTTCCATCATGTGTCCTTAAGAGGTTAATATTATAAAGACATGGAAACATTCAGCTCGTAGCGATTAGATTACTACATGGTAGTAGGACTGAAGCAACGACATCAGCAGAGTGATTATTTCTCTATTACATTCAGCACCAAGTTATGGTGGGATTTAGATATGTAAATGTAAAGAAGGTGCTTGCCACATGCACGTTTTACAATAGCTGCCTTCGTTTGATATGCACTGCTATGCAGAAATGATGAGCGGTGCTTGCAAGGATTTTCATTGAATAAAGCCACGTGCTCTGATGTTTCCAGCTTTCTTTACAATAATATACTAAACACATAGAAATATCTGCCTTTCTTGCACGTCAGCAAAGCAGCTGCTTCCTTTTTTCAAATCCTTAACCTAGAAACCTAAGAATTTTCAAAGCCGGATACAGTCGTAACATGTCTGTTATCTATCTCTGAAAGTCTGCCACTCTGAGCATTAACAGATTGAAGGCTACAGAAATCAAACATCAGTCTGCTTTGCCTTTAGTCACATGATATTTGCCTCATCGCATTCTACTGTGTACAGTAAGGGAAAGAACAGCTATTGCTAGGATGCACTATTTTTCAGACCGAGAACATTTATCATATTTTGTAGATGATTGGGAGGTTAGCTAGAAATAGGAGTTGGAAAAATACATTGTAGAAGGTTGACACAGTATATCTGGATAAATATGCTGAGTGGTGTGCAAAACCAATCCCAGTGGAAGGTGGAGCGCTCAGAAATTTGGAAATAACTTACTCCCCTTGGAACCCTTGGTAACCTAAGGGAATAATAGTGTGGAATGTATAAAAATGATGTGAGTGGAATAACTCAATAGGAATTCACTCACTTGGTTCTGAGCCTAAACAGGACAGGCTCAGATCACTCAAGCGGACGTGTATTTGAGGAGACAAGAATCCTTCAGGCGATGTTGCTTATATTCTCCCTCTGGAAAGGTAACAAATACTGATATCTAGTGTAGTAAGTCTAAGATATCAATGTATATAGGTGAATAAATGAAACTGCTCACCATACATAGAGCCTTGAACTCGGCTCTAAGTTAAACAGCACATGTGTCAATAAGAGGACACATATCCTTCTTTAGATATAGCAGGAACTCTGGATGCTAAATGCTGGATGCCACAGGAAAAGGTATAATAAAAAATAAAATGTATTAAATAAAAATACAAAATATAAAATAACAAACAATAATAGTCAACAGTAAAAGTTCAATCCTGTGGGTGGTCCCAAAACGCGTTTTGCCTTGATGGCTTTTTCAGTCGGTGTCTGTGCCTGGTCTTCTTTTAAATGGTGTCGGTGGGTATCATTGGTGGATTGGTTCCCGCCCTCCTATTTGATCGCAGCTGTGATCTTCGCTTGTTTAATTCCGGTTTTGTCAACCGGAAGTGACGTAACGCTGTTATATGTCCTTTCATCCGGGCGAGTCCGCTGACGCCATTTTGTTTAATGGCAAGAAGTCTATATATACACATATAAGCTCCCATAGAGATACGGAGTAGGTAAATAAGGGCAAAATGAAAAAAGGAAAGTTAGGTATCAATCTTGCAGTTAGGTTACATATACAATGTCACAGTTAAATAAAGGTATCACTAAAACATCACTTTTTCAGAGAGAGCTAACAAGCTTTTCCTATAAAACTGATAGATTTGCTTCATGCAAATGGTGTAATAAAGTGCAAAGAGTGTCAGCAGTTTATATAGAAACATAGAATGTGACGGCAGATAAGAACCATTCGGCCCATCTAGTCTGCCCAATTTTCTAAATACTTTCATTAGTCCCTGGCCTTATCTTATAGTTAGGATAGCCTTATGCCTATCCCACGCATGCTTAAACTCCTTTACTGTGTTAACCTCTACCACTTCAGCTGGAAGGCTATTCCATGCATCCACTACCCTCTCAGTAAAGTAATACTTCCTGATATTATTTTTAAATCTTTGTCCCTCTAATTTAAGACTATGTCCTCTTGTTGTGGTAGTTTTTCTTCTTTTAAATATAGTCTCCTCCTTTACTGTGTTGATTCCCTTTATGTATTTAAATGTTTCTATCATATCCCCCCTGTCTCGTCTTTCCTCCAAGCTATACATGTTAAGATCCTTTAACCTTTCCTGGTAAGTTTTATCCCGCAATCCATGAACCAGTTTAGTAGCCCTTCTCTGAACCCTCTCTAAGTATCAATATCCTTCTGAAGATAAGGTCTCCAGTACTGCATACAATACTCCAAGTGAGGTCTCACCAGTGTTCTGTACAATGGCATGAGCACTTCCCTCTTTCTACTGCTAATACCTCTCCCTATACAACCAAGCATTCTGCTAGCATTTCCTGCTGCTCTATTACATTGTCTGCCTACCTTTAAGTCATCTGAAATAATCACCCCTAAATCCCTTTCCTCATATGTTGAGGTTAGGACTCTATCAAATATTCTGTACTCTGCCCTTGGGTTTTTACGTTCTATAGTAAAGAAATAGGTAGAAATCTAACATTATGCAGCAATGACAACATTAAAAAACAAAATAAAATCACTAGTACTTTATAATAAAAAATAATAGTTAAAAAACATCTATAATATAATATAAAAGGGGTTACAAGAAATGACAGAGCTCAAAATCGCTATTAAAACCATGAGGTGTTAGTGTATTCAAGTTAAAAATCCATCTCATTTCCATTTGTCCTAAGCGTTTTATCATGTCTTCTCCTCTCCAATTTGGTGTTAATTTGTATATAAGATACAAATAAAATAGGTGTGCTGTACCTTTAAATTTTTAAAAGTGCAAATAGTGCACAAATTAGTGCAAAAAACAAGGAGTGTGTACACAGTATAACCACACTCAGTGTAACATGTGCAAAATTGCAAGTGAAATAGTGAAAGACCAATATCCGAATAATAACTTACAGAAAAATTGTATATCTCCTTTGTTGCTCCAAATCAAATGAGAACTAGTGATGTACCGAACGGTTCCCCGGCGAACGGTTCCTGGCGAACATAGCATGTTCGCGTTCGCCACGGCAGGCGAACATATGCGCGGTTCGACCCGCCCCCTATTCGTCATCATTGAGTAAACTTTGACCCTGTACCTCACAGTCAGCAGACACATTCCAGCCAATTAGCAGCACACCCTCCCTAGCAGACCCTCCCACCTCCTGGAAGGCATCCATTTTAGATTCATTCTCAAGCTGCATGCTTAGTAAGAGGAGGGAAAGTGTAGCTGCTGTTCATTAGATAGGGAAAAGCAT